GAATTGTGCAGATAGCTGATGTACTTAGTTCTCTCAGCATTGCTTTTTCTTTTAATGATGGCAGTTCTTCACATAATTGCCAAACTAGAGCAAAAGAAAACTTTCTCAATTTTTATGATGCTTTCAACAGACAACCAATATCAAGTATCTTCCAGAAGACTCTGTCTCCTCAGACTTTAGAGTTTGTTCTCGGAAGTTAGAGATAAACAGAGATGGCCTTGATAAATCTCTCTCACATTATAAATACACGGTTTCTGGTTCTTTTCTTCCTTGGGGCAGTGGGCCAGGTATCATCAACAATTCTGATATTCTGGCCTTTCTCAAAAATGTCATTACATTAAGAACATTATGACTTAGCGAATTGTTGAAGAAAATTAGGATGCTTTTCAGTAGTTCTGCCATCATTAAAAATCAGCTGCCTTCTGGGGAAACTGATGCCACACCCCTGATCAGGTGTTGAATTTGGACTGAAAAAAGAAATCCCCCAAAGAAGGAGATGTTTGCTTTCTAAAGAGTGCAGTTCCAGGGAGGATATTTAAAACTGATTTTTGGCAGCCATTAATGAGTAAGCATGGCGTAATTGTGTCAGGGGCCAGGAATGTTTAGAGGGGGTTTTTGTTTGTTCTGTTGTTGGGGTTCTTAGGGAAGGAATTGAAGGTATTTGCTTTCCCTGAACTGCCATTACCCCTGCACTGGTTTGCTAGGGCTACTGTAGCAAAGTACCCTAGACAGGTAGCTTATAAACAACAGAAATTCCTCACGGTTCTGGAGGGTGGAAGTCCAGGATCAAGGTGACAGCAGGGTTGGTCTCACCCGATGCCTCTCTCCTTGGCTTGTGGGTGCCGCCTTCTCCCTGTGTCTTTGTGTGTATCTGTGTCCTCATCTCCTCGCCTTATAAAGACACCAATCAGGCTGGGCACAGTGGCTCACCCCTGTAATCTCAGCACTTTGGGAGGCCAAGGTGGGTGGATTACTTGAGGTCAGGAGTTCGAGACCAGCCTGGCCAACGTGGCGAAACCCCATCTCTACTAAAAATACAAAAATTAGCCAGGTGTGGTGGTGCACGCTTGTAATCCCAGCTACTTGGGAGGCTGAGGCAGGAGAATCGCTTGAACCTGGAAGGCAGAGATTGCAGTGAGGCAAGATCAGGCCACTGCACTTCAGCCTGGGTGACAAGAGTGAAACTTCATATCAAAAAAAAAAAAAAAAAAACAGTCATATTGGATTGAAGCCCATCCTAATGACCTCATTTTAATATAATCATTTCTTTAAAGACTCTATCTCCAAATATGGTTGCATTCCAACCATATTTAAGATCTTTTCTCCAAATATGGTACTAGGGGTTAAGGCTTCAGCATGTTAATTTGGTGAAGAGGGGGCCAGAGTGCAAACCCTAACAACCGTGATCCAAGGTCTTCACACCAAATCCACAAGCCCTTTACTTTGTAGTGATCAGAAGGGAAAGAGAGAAGACAGGAAGATACGCATGAGTTTTCCACAAGGACTGACCAGCTTCTGCAGCAAATGTTTTTGTTTTTTCCCCTCCTTCAGTACAGAATAGCCAATAAGTCCACTGGGAACTTTGAGAGCACTTTGCTTTCTTTCTCTCCCTCAAACAGAAGTGTGCCTCTGCCCCTCAGCATATCTCAGTTAGAAGACGTATAAGGGGTGGGAAAGAGCTAGTCAGTGGACTTGGCCGGCCAGAGGCTTTGTAACTGGCAGATACCTCGGATATCACCAGCCACCTGTTGTGCACCCACAGGACACCTGACCCTTTACCAAGCATGACGTGTTCTCTCATTTACTCCTCATAACGTCCCTGTGAAGCAGGTATTATTGTCAAGCCTAGCTTGCAGATGGGACAAGGGAATCCTGGACAAGTTTGATAATTGGTATAAAGTCCCAGAGCTGAGTACACTGTGGAGCAAGGACTTGAACCAAAGAAGTCTCATTCTAGGATCTTTGCTCTTCATCTCTTCTTAACATCTTTCCCTAGTCTTATTGGTTGAGAAGAAACCTGTATGTAGACACTGACCGTATTTTTCTCAGCACCCAGTATTGAGAATCATCTCAGGGCCTCCCCAAGGACCTATCTTCTAGCTCCAGCTCCACTAATCGTTGCTAGCTGGTCTTGACATAGCAGATTAACCTCTCTGAGCTTGTATTCCATATGTAAAATAGGAGAACTGGATTATGGCCATGTTTCTCAAACTTCTAGGCTTGGCTGGGCGTGGTGGTTCACGCCTGTAATCCTAGCACTTTGGGAGGTTATGGCGGGTGGATCACCTGAGTCCGGGAGTTTGAGACCAGCCTGACCAGTATAGAGAAACTCCCATCTCTACTAAAAATACAAAATTAGCTGGGTGTGGTGGCACATGCCTGTAATTCCAGCTACTCGGGTGGCTGAGGCAGGAGAATCACCTGAACCTGGGAGGCAGAGGTTTCGGTGAGCCGAGATTGTACCAGTGCACTCCAGCCTGGACAACAAGAGAGAAACTCCATCACAGAAAAGAAAGAAAAAATAACTGTTTTAGGCTAGATCTATATTAAGAAATACATTTTATTTGGCAACCCAGCACACGCACACACACACGCACACAGACACACAAACTTCATAACCAAAACAAGTGTTTAATACCAAAATATCTATCCTTACTTCATATGAATGCTGCTATTTTTCAACCAATTTTTGTGACTTTTAAATACTAATTGTGACCTATTCTATTGGACTTGTCAAAAGCTGAACTAGATGACCCAGTTTAGACTCCTGGAATCCTAAAATCCTGTTAATCTATGTAGATGTCTGTTTGGAGCCTCTCCTATCTTAAATGCATATTTATTTGAAACAAATGAATATCACATATTGCAGGGGACCACATCCTTTTTCTGTCTGGTATGAGTTAACTGCATCATGGAAATAATAATAATTACTTCTATTTATTGTGTACCTCCCATATGACAGGGCTTTAAAATGCAGTATCGCCTGTAGCCTGTAGGTGATAGGTATTATCTCTGATTTATAGATGAGGAAACTAAGGATTCAATTAAGTAATTTGCTCAAGGCCTGTAGGCACCAAAGCTCATATTTGAACCAAGGCCATTCTAATTCCAAAGCCCTTCCATTCAACCTTCTTTTCAGAGGAACACAAGTAAAGGGGTTTAGAAGGAGAGGTAAAAGCTACCGCAGCTGCATATAATTTTTTTCCTAATGGTTTGCTGTCCCTGGCAGAAATGACTGTCCTCTGGGGTGTGAAGCCACCACTGTAACAATGATTGAAATCACCTAGGAAGCTTATCCAATCCCCCTTCCCTCACGCAGGCCACCAGTTACATCAGAATTACTAGGGGTGGAACCCAGTCCTCAGTGGTCTTTAAAGCCCCCAAGGTGGTTCTAATGTGTAGCCAAGGCTGGAAGCCATTGCTCTGAAATCTTAGGAATTAAAGAGCTGTAAGGAGCTTTTCTATTTTACCTCCTGCAAACAAGATTTAGTAAAATACTGCTTAAAGCTCTTTAGCTGCTTCCACAAAGCTGAAATATAGGACCTTTGCTGTTTCTTTGGTGAACACATAAAAATCTGATAAACAATGCTATCTGCTTTTCAAGGCCTAGAGAAATCAGAGAATGCTAAGGATGTAGGTGAGGAAATGTTTCAAGCAACAGTGGTATTCTGGGGAATCTGTCCCTGTGATACTTCATAACGCAGCTCATGTCATTGTGTTTTTTGTTTTTTATTTTTATTTATTTACATATTGTTTCAGACAGGGTCTCGCTCTGGTGCCAGGCTGGAGTACAGTGGTGCAGTCATGGCTCACTACAGTCTCAAATTCCTGGTAATTCTAATTCTCCCAGGACTGGAGCTTCCAGAGTAGCTGGAACTACAGGTGCACACCACCATAGCCAGCTCATTTTTGAAAGTTTTTGTAGAAGTGGGGTCTACAGCCTGTGTTGTCCAGGCTGGTCTCGAACTTCTGGCTCTAAGTGATCCTCCCATCTCATCCTCCGAAAATGGCAGAATTACAGGTATGAGCCACCATACCCAGCCAGCTCATATAATTCTGAAAGTTATTTTTATATAAATGGAGAAGTCAGTTGAATTAGCAGAATTGACTGTAGGCCAAGTGGACTGGGGACAATGTAGAAAGCCAACGAAGACTAAAGTCACTATAAGTAAGATAAGCCATCACATTTTCTCAAAAAGAGCTGGACGCAGTGGCTCACGCCTATAATCCAAGCACTTTGGGAGAACGAGGTGGGTGGATCATTTGAGGTCAGGAGTTCAAGAGCAGCCTGGCCAACACAGTGAAACCCCGTCTCTACTAAAAATACAAAAAATTAGCCAGGTGTCATGATGGGCAGCTGTAATTCCAGCTAGTCAGGAGGCTGAGGCAGGAGAATCGCTTGAACATGGGAGGCGGAGGTTGCAGTGAGCCGAGATCTCACCACTGCACTCCAGCCTGAGACAGACTGAGACTGTATCTCAAAAGAAAAAAAAAAGGAAGGGGTGCCTCAGTGAAAGAGTTCCACTTTTTCACATGGATAATGGTAACTATGGTAAAACCAGGAAGCCTCTCCCAAATCATTTTCCCACAGGAATAGGATGATGTCATTTTACTAACCTTCCAGTCTTACCCAACTTTATACTGGGGTTATTGCAATGTCTATTTTCCAGCTGAAATATGAATGATCAGTGCACAATTTCACTGTGTTTCATGAAGGGTATTTGAAATGGGGGCTGTGTCATACTGCTGGCTTTTCTCTACATCTCAAAACACAGCGTTAATAATGTTAAAAATATCTGCAATTTTCATACTTCAGACAGTAAAAGCACTGTGGCATTATCCTAACCACGAACAAATGCGTGCTATTCTCAAAGACTGTTTCTTTAGTCCCCTGGACAGATGGTAAGTCCTGAATTCTGCTGCTTGGGCCAATGCAGATAGAGGTGCTATGCTTCTGCTCTGTCTGTAGTTAACAGGCCCCGATGTTTGACTGCTTACAGAATGACGTGGCCACTCTTCTGAAACCCATATCGGAAAAGATTCAGGAAATCCAGACTTTCAGAGAGAGAAACCGGGGGAGTAACATGTTCAATCATCTTTCGGCCGTCAGCGAAAGTATCCCTGCCCTTGGATGGATAGCTGTGGTGAGTCCAAGAGGAATGTTGCCTCTTCACCTGTCACACGTTTGGAGTATTTAGGAGAACTCATAGCTTAGCTACCTTCACGCTTCTTGCACTGAAGGAAGCTTCTTCCTAGTCTGAATCCACCTGCTTTCTCCTACCCTGTTTCAAGTTCAATGCCTTCTGTGCTGAGATACTGTAGATGTTATCAACCTTTCAGAGCAACATTTGCCTCCCACTTTAAGTCCACGTCTCCATTGCTTTGCTTCTTCTTTAAGGCATTTTCTTTCTTATCCTATTTTTTTTTCCTTCTATGCTTGGGTGATGGTCCTGTTTTCTCAGTCCCCCAAACCTGGTCCTTATGTCAAGGAGATGAATGACGCTGCCACCTTTTACACTAACAGGGTCTTAAAGGACTACAAACACAGGTACGTACCTTCTTTTACTGACCAAATTTTCAGTTGATTACTTATTAGACATTTGTCCCAAAAACTCAATACAGTTAGCAACTGACTCCTTTCCAAGGCTCTACACGAATGAACTATAAATTTTAAAGGAAAATGCTAATCTTTGTAGATAAAGTGGAAAGTGGAATCAGTTATCCAGATAATACATGCATTTTAGAAAGTCGGCCTCTGTTCTCTTGTAATGAATAAACTTTCCCCACTTGAATGCATGTCACTATTTTATGTATTCCCACAGTAATCAGAGAGCTTGGTGATGGAGCAACCCTGTATGGTACAGAAGTTTTACACTGATCAAAGTAGAGTTGGTGGGTGAGCTAGAGAAGAGAGGAGGAATCAGGAAACAAAGCGTAAATCAAGAACAGAAATGAGGTGAAACAGCAAACCAGAGCAGTGAGAAGGAAACCAGAGACTCAGTTAAGATGAAATACAACTGGGGTGGACACAGACATCTGTAAGACTAGCAGCCATTCAGAGTGCTGCTCAAAGTATAGATGAGTCTAAAACCAAGGGGCTTTGCCTTGTGAACCAGCATGAAAGGGCCTTGCATTCGACAGCACAAGTAATAGATCCTAGAGAGACTTAAAGCTGGAGTCAGAATAGAAAATAGGGCCAAACGGAGATGTGGCAGAGCCGAAGAAATACCAGGAAAATGTGTCCTAAATATTTAAGGGATATCATGAGATTCCTCCTCCTCTGATAAGGTCGTGCCTTGTACTCTAAACAGCTGGCTAAATGGGATATGGCTGGTGCCTTGGAACTAAGGGAAGGGATGAGGCGAATATAAGAGCAACAGTAAGAGCAACAAGCTTCTACCTGCTTCCGGCCCTGGACTTGAAAGTGGATCTCCCTCAGAGCTCTTAGGTGGCAGCAGCAGAAGTGCCCATTGGTCAGCAAATGCAGAGGCACCTGTTGACATCTCATGTGTTGACCCAGACTGTTCAGGTGGAAGGAAATTAAAGAACCTGCATTATTGGATTATTGCTTCAATTCATTTTTTTTTTTTTTTTGAGACAGCGTCTCACTCTGTCACCAGGCTGGAGTGCAGTGGTGCAATCTTGGCTCAGTGCAACCTCTGCCTCCCAGGTTCAAGCGATTCTCCTGCCTGAGCCTCCTGAGTAGCTGGGACTATAGGCACGCACCACCACGCCCAGCTAATTTTTGTAATTTTAGTAGAGATGGGGTTTCACCTTGTTGGCCAGGATGCTCTCGATCTCTTGACCTCCGGATCTGCCTGCCTCAGGCTCCCAAAGTGCTGGGATTACAGGCGTGAGCAATTGTGCCCAGCCTCCATTCACCTCCTTGTTTTGCTAATGCAGATCTGAAAATCAGAACCAGAAGAAAAGGGTCTACAACAATATAAGACAAATTTTATATCGAATATAGAAAAATTGCATAAAATATATAAATAAATATCGACTATACTTCTAGGCCATTTATCAATATTACATATTCAAAATTTTCATCACTCTTTCTTTTGTAGATTATTTTTTATTTTAACAAATATTAAGGCTGGGCGTGGTGGCTCACACCTGTAATCCTAGCACTTTGGGACGTCGAGGTGGGTGGATCACCTGAGGTCAGGAGTTCAAGACCAGCCTGGCCATCATGGAGAAACCCCATCTTTAAAAAAAAAAAAAACAAAAAAAAAAACACAAATATTGAGTAGATACAAAAGAATATTTATAAAATATACGTGAGGTGTAAAGAATTACAATACAAAATATACCTAAACATCCATCCCTCAGGTTAAGAAATATGTAACAATATTTTTTTACTACAAAAAGCAGTCAAGGTGCTGTGGCTCAAGCCTATAATCCGAGCACTTTGGGAGGCCGAGGCAGGTGGATCACTTGATTCAGGAGTTCTTGACCAGTTTGGCCAACATGGCAAAAACCCATCTCTACCAAAAATACAAACATTAGCCAAGCGTGGTGGCATGCACCTGTAATCCCAGCTAACTCAGGAGGCTGAGGCAGGAGAATGGCTTGAACCTGGGAGGGGGAGGTTGCAGTGAGTTGAGATTGTGCCACTGCACTCGAAATGGCATATGTTCACCCAAAAGCTTGTACACAATATTAGTTGCAGCCTTGTTCATGATAGCCAATAGGTGGAAATAACTCAAATGTTCAACAGCTGATGAATAGATAAATAAAATATGGTATATCCACACAATGGAATATTATTGGGCCATAAAAAAGGAAATATTAATACTTTTGCCATGTTGGCCAGTCTGGTCTCAAACTCCTGACCTCAGATGATCTGCCCACCTTGGCCTCCCAAAGTGCTGGCATTACAGACGTGAGCCTGGAATGGACTGTTTATTAATTTCTTGGTCCTGATAGTTCCCAAATCCATCACATCTTTTCTTGAACTCCATTAGTTTTCAATAATTATAAGCAACTGAAAGCAGTGACATCAGATTCCATATCATAGTTTCCACTTTATAACTGTTACCCTATTTTGAGCTATCGATAACCTTAAACTTTAATTTTCCAAGGAAAAATAGTTACCAGCCTGTCCCCAGGGAGAGAGATTACTGTACCCCGACATATTATCTGGGACCACTAAAATAATTTCTAAGCTACTTAATTCAGTCAGTGCATCAATGGTTATTTCATTCCAAAAGATGTGCTTTAATTTTTATTTTTTTGATTCAGGCAGCAGCATGAATGAACCTTGAAAATACTGTGCTAAGTGAAAGAAGCCAGGCACAAAGACCACGTATTATATGATTACATTGATATGAAATTCCAGAATAGTCAAATCTATATAAACAGAAGTAGATTAACAGTTGCCTAGAGCTGGGGAAGTTTAGGGGAAACTCAAACTTTTAAAAGTTTAAGCTTTTTTTTTTTTTTAAGTTTTAAGTAATCACTCCCTTTGGAGGATTAAATGCTGATGGGTATGGGGTTTCTTTCGGGGGTGATGAAATGTTCTAAGATTGATTGTGGTGGTGATTGCTCAACTCTGCTGAACTAAACTATTGAATTGCATACTGGAAATGGCCAAAGTGTATGGGATGTGAATTATATTTCAATAAAGCTGTTATATTAAAAAAAAAAAGAAAAAGAAAAACAGCCATTGTGTTCCCCTCACAGAATTTAGTTGTTCCATGTTGCTTTTAGGAAGAGGAGCTTTAGCAGATGGAACTCCTAATTCCAGGAGTTCGGTGAGCCTCTTTTCTTCTTAGGGGCTCTGCCCAATCTGAGAAAACTTTGGTTAAAACCATTGTGCTAAATTACAGACTTTCTGCATTGAGGCAGTTGTGCCCAGTGATATGCCTCCAGATGTTGCCATGTTGAATTAGAGATTTCAGAACTGTGTGACACGCATGAGAAAGGCATCAGAAATATGCAAGATGGCCTGTTCTTCTCACATAAAAATAGCATTTCAGAAAAGAGCAAGTTTCAGTTGCCAAACCTAGATATCATATGACGGCATGAATGTACACCCCTAGTGACTTCTTTTGTTCAAGATCTGCAGACACACACCTACACATGCCAGTTCAGGACAGCTCAAGCACATCCTAGATTTTTGCCTTTTTACCTCTCACCCTTGGAGACTGTTTTTATTAGTGTCTCATTTCATCAGCTCCTGTCCTTCTCCCAGTCCCTCCTTGAGTAGATGTTGGGGCTGTGGCTGTGAGGGGTTCCCCCCAGGTAGCAGCATAGTCAAAAGGGTTGGACTTTTCTACATGTTTTTGTTCACGAAGAGGGTTCAGTATTTGCCCCTCCGTGTTAGCTCTAGCAATTAAGTAGAAAGTGTCTTCCAGTAGCACCAAAGATGACTCAGTTAAGCTCAGTGGACCACCTCAAGACTGTACAAGAAGCCGGAGAAATGCCACTGGAGGTGCAAATGCGTTCATTTTTACCACTAGGAGTAGTCAAACCAAGTAGCCGATGAGAGAGACCTTTGGAGCTACTCTTAGCTTTTGGGTTTTGACTCTGAAGGTGAGACAAAGCGACAGTGACACTTTTCATAGATTTTATTAATATAATCAGTCCATCTAAAAATGAAGAACAAAACTACACTCACATTTTTTCTCTTTGTGGAGTGAATAATTAGGACTTCAGTTCCCAAGTTCACTCTTTCTAAATGGCATGCCTTGATACAACAGGATTTATGGTGAATAGCTAAATAAAATATGGTATATCCTCACAATGGAATATTATTGGGCCATAAAAAATGAAATATTAATACTTTTGCCATGTTGGCCAGGCTGGTCTCGAACTCCTGACCTCAGGTGATCTGCCTGCCTTGGCCTCCCAAAGTGCTGGGATTATAAAGTGCTTGGATTCCCAAGTTCACTCTTTCTAAATGACATGCCTCGATATAATAAGCTGGTGGTGCTTAGGGCTTTTCAAGGTAAACAAAATACAATATGTCTAGAGGTAAGTCATTGTTGACGAGAGCTTTAATAATGGAGATTTCCATTTGTGATTATCTTCAGATTAATGGCCCAGGAACATAATTAAATTCTTAACTCAAATGTTATCATTTTCACATTTACCCAGTCTTCTTTAAAGTGAGAACAAATATATTATGGGTAAAAATTGCCAAAAGGAAATGCAACTATTTTTGCCTATCCGTAAGTTTAATTTTTCTAACAGTTCTTTCAATCTTGTATGTTAATCCTCTTATAAAAGGTAAGTATTTTACTAGCCCTTGGTTCAATAAAATCAAGATAAAAATATAGGTGATACCCTGCCTGGTTCATATTGTCATTCAAAGTATGAACCTAAGGGGATTTAAATGCCCCTTTCGAAGTAAGAGGTGTTACCTGTTTCTAAGAGATCAATTTTCTTACTATACCCACTTCTTTGTCAGCCATAATGACTAAAATTCTCCAATTTGGTTACATTTTAACCAAATGATTCAACAGAATGATTAGAAAATGAACCCAGTGATTTTTTTGTTCTTTTTAATACCATTCTCATTCCTGGGAGCATATTGTCTCTCATTTTGCTTCAGGAGCAGTGTGGAAAGAAACAGTCTCCCCTCTCCGCCTCCCTCACATGAGGCCTGACAAGGACAGTGCTAGGACACCCTACTCAAGTCAGCTTAGTTCTGTCGGGTCCCTCTCTGTGTTCTGCTCCATACCTGGACTCAGGGCACCCAGCCACCTGCCACCTCCCTTCAGGAGAGTGCTGGGCCAGCTTCCTCCCAGGGTTGCCTTCTGAAGCCCTTCACAGTGCTTGGGCTGCGAGGACAATTGCTACGGACTCCAGGGCCCTAGTCACTAGATAACCATGTGACCCCACAGTCTTTTTACAATTGTCTTTTCGATCCTAACTCCACTTTCTTCCGTTCTCTTTTATAACAAAGTGATTTGCGCCATGTGGATTGGGTGAAGTCATATTTGAACATTTGGAGTGAGCTTCAAGCATACATCAAGGAACACCACACCACCGGCCTCACATGGAGCAAAACAGTAAGTACCAGGCCCTCCTCCACATGTGTAAAAAAAAGGTCGTAACAATATATACACCCTGTGGCCCAGTGATCTCATGCTTTAACATCTGCCTTGAGGAAAACCTAAGATGAAATGTCCATGTAGAGGGTGGGGCACAATGGCTCACACCTGTAATCCCAGCACTTTGGGAGGCTGAGGTGGGTGGATCACCTGAGGTCAGCCTGGCCAACATGGCAAAACACTGTCTCTACTAAAAATACAAAAATTAGCTGGCTGTGGTGGTGGGCACCTATAATCCCAGCTAGTCAGGAGGCTGGGGCAGGAGAATCACTTGAACCCCGGGAGGTGGAGGTTGTAGAGAGCCAAGATTGTGCCACTGCACTTCAGCCTGGGTAACAGAGCACGACTCCCTCCGAAAATAAATAAATAAATAGTTATAAAATATAACTGTTACATTTGTATAAAATAAATACGATCCATAGGGCACATCAGGCCTCATGGATTGCCATGACAGCTGTTATTTATTGAGCACCTAGTATGCCAGGGGAAAATTCTGTTCAAATGGTAAAAGCAAAGTACCTACTTCACTTCATTAATGGAAGAGTGAAATGATAAAGTTTTGATCAGATATTAAAAATGACTAGAAAATCTTTTGACAAGCTTTAAGACATATGCCTAGAAATAGGTTTCCTGGTATTTTTATCTTCTTCTTCTGAAGTTTGGGAAGCAATTTAAAAATATATTATAAAAATTATATCGTTGAATTTTAAAATTAAATTTCTTTTAAATTATTAAAAACTACTTAAAGGTTCCAAAGCATAGTCCATAGTGTAAATCAAACTAATTTCTCCTCACCTACTATGGCCTGTCAACATTCCGGCAAAACGAAGGATAAACAGTGATAGCCAGAGTCACAGCATTCTTGCAGAGAAGAGAAAAGGGCTACTAGAATTAGCTGATTGAATGGTCTTTGGGAGGAAAAAATAAAACAACATCATTTCGTTTGCCCACTGATCACAACTCTATGAAAACTATGTATTTATAAAATGATCATGAAAGCATATAGAAATATGTGGTGTTGATATTCACAGACACCACAGTATTCAGAGTTTTTTAATTTAATTTTTGGGGGGGGCAGGGTTTCACTGTGTCACTTAGGTTGGAGTGCAGTGGCGCAATTAGGGCTCACTGGAGCCTTGACCTCTTGGACTCTAATGATCCTCCTGCCTCAGCCTCCCAAGCAGCTGGGACCACAGGCATTCACCACCACACCTGGCTAAATTTTGCATTTTTTGTAGAGACAGAGTTTTGCCATGTTGCTCAGGCTGGTCTCGAGCTCCTCAGCTCAAGGAATTGGCCCTCCTGGGCCTCCCAGAGTGCTGGGATTACAAACATGAGCCACCGCATCTGGCCCAGAGGTTTTAAAAAAACCCATTCCAGCCAGGTGCGGTGGCTCACACCTGTAATCCCAGCACTTTGGGAGGCTGAGGCTGGTGGATCACCTGAGGTCAGGAGTTTGAGACCAGCCTGACCAACATGGAGAAACTCCATCTCTACTAAAAATACAAAATTAGCCGGATATGGTGGCACATGCCTGTAATCCCAGCTACTAGGGAGGCTAAGGCAGGAGAATCACAAGGGAGGTGGAGGTTGCAGTGAGCCGAGATCGCACCACTGCACTTCAGCCTGGGCAACAACAACAAAAAAAAAGCCCATTCCATCATAAAGGACACAGTCCATTGCACAAAACTCCTATTGGCACCACGAAAAGTTTATGACGACCTTAACGTCTCAAGTACTTTCAGTAATTGTTGATTTTTTTTCTATTTTCAAATCAGATTTTGAGATTTGCACTCTGTAGGGGTTTCAGTGACTGACAGCCTGTTGTTTGAGACCTGCACTGTTCAAGGGCACATGGCTTTACAAAATCACCCTTCCCTGAGTTAACAGTTGGAGCTGAGAGTCCCTGATCCCATCTCCTAACCTCGGCCTCCAGACTGCAGCTGTGACCGGCAACTGCTGCCCCGTTCAGTTGTCAGGGTTCGGTGCCAAACTTTGAGCCCAGTGATTGGAAGAGAGTCTCTGTGTGTGTGCAAGTGCACCGGGGTGGATGGGGTGAGCTGGGTGGGAGGAAGCAGCTGTGGAGTCATCTGTCTGGAATTTCTTCTTGCATTTACCGTGGTAGATGGAATCTTGTCATTTCTATGAGCTTTTTTCCAACATGAAGGCAGCTGTCAGCTAGAAAGACCCCACGCCAGAAACTACTTGCTGGTTTTCAGTTAGTTTCATCCTTGGGACCCAAACCCTTTTTCATATGAGTTAGTGTGCTTTCCTCCGTGCGAAGCTTTCCATGGCTTTATTGAATAAATGGATCTTTTGGCACAAACCCAATAGCAACACTGTTACTCAGCATCCCTCGCAGTTGGTCAGATCTGTAACATTCATTGGGAGTTCCTTCAAATCAGACAACTAAAGCCAAAAGACTAAGGCCTAGCCTTTACACTTATAATTACTGAAATAATTGATTTTTTTTTCCTACAAAAGTGTTTGTTTTTTTGAATCTGTAATTGCAGACTATGATTCTGTTCTGAAAAAGTTCTGTTCAGAAAATTCTGCTCAGAAAAAGGTCATGAAAAGAATTCTCTGAGTAGGATAAATACGAGTGTTTTATTAACTTTCGGATGTTAACTTGTTGACATATTTCTGTGCTTTCCTGTGTTTCTGAATTACTTTAGCTTTGGGAACAAATAGAATAGAATTATGTGTAGAATAATAGAGTAATTAAGTTTAGAGTAATAGAATAGAATAAAACTGTGCATGAATGAATGGATATACGTTCTTACATAATACTGATGTCGTTCGTTTTCGTTGTTATTTTTTGGGGGGTTTTGTTTTTGTTTTTGATACAGGATTTTGCTCTGATGCCCAGCCTGGAGCACAGTGGTGTGACTGCAGCTCACTGCAGCCTTGACCTCCTGGGCTCAAGCAATCCTCCTGCCTCAGCCTCCTAAGTAGCTGAGACCACAGGCGTGCACCAACATGCCTGGCTTGTTTTTATATTTTTTTTGCAGAGATGTGATTTCACCATGTTTCCCAGGTGGTCTCAAATGGGGTTTCACCATGTTGCCCAGGCTGGTCTCAAGCTCCTGGGCTCAAGTGATCCACCTGCCTTGGCCTCTCTTAAGTGCTAGGATAATAAGCATGAACCACTGCACCCAGCCAATGTAATTCTTAATAACACGGGTTTTAAAAATCCATCCTATACTCTATCATTCATCCTAGCCTCTCTTGAACCTCCAGGAAAATGCAAGTAGTTGAGGGTGGTTACAATTACAGACAAGGTGGCGTTCCATTTTTCCCAGAGTAAAACACTTTCAGATCACTTCTTTTCCTCCAAGTAGGTATTTCTTTTTTTTTCTGTTTCTTGGTGTAGAGGCCAAATGTCTGGTAACAAAGCCCAAGTTTCATAGCTTACTTTTGATCAAATTAAAACTCAGCCAGAGGGTGCCCTGCCTCATTATAAATAATACAGACTCTGTGGCATGTCATTAAATACGAACGTGTATGCCTTGTACATTTTCAAGTCTTCAGGCCTCTCTGGCCTCCTCATGCTATTTACAAGAGAAAACTGTTCTTAAGCTTTTATATCTAAATTTTCATTTAGAACTTGTACCAAACCCACACCTTAGGGCTGTTAATCAAAGGGAACCGGCAGAGTCCCAGATGATGTATTTGTTGTCCATTGGCAAAGCTCACTCTTCTCCTGGACAGCTCTTCCCCGGAGTGACTCCGGCCAGCGTACCTGACCACAGCTGCTTCGTTCTACTTAATTAAGTTTGGGCTTCTAGGTCCCTTTTGGGGCTCTGGGTGGCCAGTTACTCTCATTCTCCTATGGAAGGTTCCACGTTGCTCAGCAGGGGCTAGAAGTGTCATCAACTAACAAAGGAGCCTCAACTGCACAGACAGATAATAAAGTTAGGTTGGAAGTGAGCTCTGTGAGTTCAGCCTGACAGAGACCACATAATTAAACCAACATGGCTTAAGCATCTACTAGGCACCAAGTTCTGGGCAAGGGGCTGAGAACACAAAGAGGGACAGATGGCGTTGTGGACACAATTCCTGTCCATGGAAATGAACACTCCAGCTGAAGAAGATAAGCAATGCACCATGATAGAATAGGGGGAGCCGCATGCTGGGGGCATGCACAGGGCATGACGCTTGCGTAGACCAGGACAACGTGGAAAGTACAGCCCGTCCTGTAGTGCAGCGTGGTTCTGGGGCCAACAGCAAACTGGGCACTTGTTAGAAATCTCAGGCCCCTTGGCTGGGTGCAGTGGCTCACGCCTGTAATCCCAGCACTTTGGGAGAGTGAGGCGAGTAGATCACCTAAGGTCAGGAGTGCGAGACCAGCGTGATCAACATGGCGAAACCCCATCTCTACGAAAAATACAAAAATCAGCTGGGCGCGCTGGCACAAAACTGTAATCCCAGCTACTTAGGAGGCCAAGGCGAATCCCAATTCACCCTGGGATCAGTAGCAGTGACTGGAACCCTAATACTGGGATAGCAGTGACTTGAAAACAGATAGGGTTCAAACACATTTGCTAAATCCGCTATATTCATTTGTCATCATAATGAAAATTCCAAAGTGTTAGTCCATTAACTATAGATCGTGTCTGTTTTTCAAAAGCTGCATAAAAATATGTCTTTTTTTTTTTTTTTTTTTTTTTTTTTTGATGGAATCTGGCTCTGTCACTCAGCCTGGAGTGCAGTGGCATGATCTCAGCGCACTGCAACCTGCACCTCCCGGGTTCAAGCAATTCTTCTGCCTCAGCCTCGAGAACAGCTGGGATTACAGATACCTGCCACCATGCCGGGCTATTTTTTGTGTTTTTAGTAGAGACAGGGTTTCACCATGTTGGCCAGACTGGTCTCAAACTCCTGACCTCAGGTGATCCAACCTCCTCGGCCTCCCAAAGTGCTGGGATTACAGGTGTGAACCACCGTGCCCAGCCAAA